GATTGGCACACCAGTGGGGGTCTCGCCTGCTCCTACCTTTCTATCCACCATTAATTACCCTTTTCTCATCAGCGTTTTCAGAGCAGAACCTAAAATTCATGAACTATTMAAAAAACACATCACATAAAGAATTCTAAAGCAGCCTGAAAACAGCCTAACCAAACTATTTTAGGGGCCTATATGGTTCCAACAGCAACTATAAACTGCCCATCTCACTGTCTGCCTTATTCTTACCTCAGGTAAGGTTCTTCCCTGTTTCCCACAGTACACTTGGCTTTCAGGCACTGAATCTACTTTCATAAACAAAACGTGGTGGGTCTTAACCACCCACAAAATAATACGATTAATTCACCTCTACCAACTATAATTGTCAAAATCTCTCAGTAGGATTGCAGGATTAAGCAGTAATCCTTGATTGAGAGCCTGCTTTTCCACATTTTTCTCATGAAAACACAATCCTAAGATTGCCATTAATAGGATTTTACAACTGCCCTTTCAACAACTGAGCAGCCACCAAGGAGTCTTCAGCACAGCACTGACTCTGAACTTTGTCATCTTTGTCTTCTGTTTTCTAGAATTTTAGCTTACTTTTAGCTATGAACAGATGATCCCTGTTGGTTTCAAAACTTGCTGGCAACGTGTATTTTCACCTTACTTTGTAGAAACCAACAATAAATTCAGCTCTCATGCCTGTTACCTATAAAATACAATCCCCCTAGGGAATTGGCACGTGCTACGAGCATGGCTGATACAAGTAAGATAAAAGATGTTCAGCAAGTTCCATGGTGGGTTTTGGKTTAGGTAACCTTACCCCATGCCTAACTTGTACTTTAATGATACTCTCATATCACCTACTGAGAARTATCTCTAAGACACAATGGCTCTTCCAGTCTCTGTGAGACTTAAGGGGTTCAGCCTCTGGCCATCATACACCCCTGTTTTTCAATGTGCCCCTCAGCTCTCTCTGTTAGAGGTTTGCATCCAGATCTTCAATCCACACTCTGAAACCTAAGCCCAATTCCTAAYGTTTGTTAGAGCTGAATAATTATGGAATGAAATTCAGCTGTAAAGTGGTACTGACTGAATGACCATCAGGAAAACTGGCACTGCCTGAAAGTGCTAACAAAGCTCATCCCTRAGGGGTTTTTGTAATGGCTCATGTAAGTATATAGTTAGGAGATTTGACTCCTGGCTACACAGAGGCTCTTTAATATACTGTACCAACCTGTACCAACCACACAAACCTCTCCAATTTGGTTTATAAGTCCTAAGTTGTTGTATTGTGTTTAATGAAAGAATTACATCTTTACAGGTTGCCTCCTGCCTCCAGGAATTTGAGATAGAAGAACATGGAATTATTCAAAGACTCCAAGAGAGATGATAAAAGGTAACCCTGCTAGCTTCCTACATACAGAATATTTGCAAGTGTTAGTACATTCAGTTTACATCCACTGCAAAGCTGGTCTGTCCCACCAAGTTAGCATCAGAGAGAAACATTTTAGGATAAATTACCATTCATGTGAAATCTGACTGCATGTTCACTTTAGATTGAAATGAAAAGAGTTTCCATATTGCACATCATGTCTTTACTGTCATACTAATTTCTAGTCCCAAGATCTACCCAGGTTCCATGTTTTGCTATCGTAGCCCCCTTGTTTAATATCTGAATAGTTAAACTGATTCAGAAATAGCTGCTCCATCTCTTGGCAACATCTGATATAAACACGGCTATTGAACCTTCCTCTTACTCCCAAAATCACTGAGGATAAAGCGTATTTGTGACCTATTTCCTTCAAGACCATGTTTTGCTCTGGTGTCCKGTAGATGGTGACTGATGGTGCTACAGGGACCAGTCATGAAGGAGATGTTCTATGCATGAGGGAGGTCTCAAACCCATCTGTCCCTTGGAGACAGGGAAGCCATGGAATCCCTGATTTTGGATTGCAGTGGGCTGCAAACACAAGTATCTGGTTAATCTTGAAATGTTAACATATTCCCACAATGACTCTTCTCATAACTTGTATACATATTTTGTTTTTGGGGGAAGGAACAGGTTTTTTCCTTTTTCAGAGGCCTGAAATTTTTAGTCCCATAGGCATTGAATGTAAGGTAGATTACAGCTTAATCCAACAAAAACCAGTTAGAAGTTGTTTTATTTCACTCATTTCCTTTCCTAACTTTATTCTGACCCTCCCTTTGGGGTCATTTATTTCTCACATTATTTAGTTGCTCTTCCCATTTGGGGATTTAGTAGTTTTAGTGAAACATTTAAAGGARAAGACCAAGAAAACTCTCTCCTTATTTGGCTAAGAATGTTTCTTCTGCTAATATCTGAATATAAAAACAACCTAATACTTGGGGCAAAAGCAGGGGGCATCCTCAAGGGACTTTTCAAGCTCTGAGTGTTGTTTGAACTTTTCAGGGGAGACCGTTTAAATCTCATGAAAAGATTTTTGAGTTTGGGTTTTTTTCTAGAATAAGATCAAGATACAGCTTTTACCTAGAGGAATGAATGTATGAGATTAATACAGTGATGGACTATTTTCTTTGCTCTGAGATTCTCCCTTCCCTTCCCTTCCCTTCCCTTCCCTTCCCTTCCCTTCCCTTCCCTTCCCTTCCCTTCCCTTCCCTTCCCTTCCCTTCCCTTCCCTTCCCTCTCTTCCTTTTTTGCCCTCACCTTCTATAACTTTTTTATTTGCTTCTCTTTCATTCTCCCTCCTCACTTTCTTGTTTTCTCATATAAAAAAGTAAAACAGATTTGCAAATGGACTTTTATTTTTGYAGATGGCATGTGGTGGCACAGTTCTAAATTGAGATTTTTTCTTTGGATCTGAACATCCCCAAATAGATTTTCTACTCCCTTCATGTTTGTTTGTTTGAACTAGGTCTCTTGGTATTGTAGCAGCTCAGGACAACTTTCCATATACTGCCATTCAGTTCCCACAAGAGTTAAATCCCAGGCTTTCAGCTAGATGAGTTGCCAGTTCCTGAGTGATGCCATTTGAAGCTCAGCCTCAGAGATGAGCCTGGGACCCTTTACTTGGCATGCCTCAGACTTTTGGAGCAATGGGAGCACTGCACACTTCTTTCTGAGTCATGGTCAGAGTCACCATTTGCTCTCCCTCTTACTCAAGGCAAATGGTTGGAGAAGGTAACCTTCAGCTTCTTCAAGGAAGTTCTTCAAAGGCTTCAGGGAAATCTGAACAAACCATGGATGTATCTGGAAGGAGAGGATTCTTTCCATCCTCATCTCTGAGTGCYGTCATGGAATGACCTTAGTAAGTCAAGAACTTTTTCCTCTTTGTTTTACTCTCCAAAGAGAAAACTTCTTTTCTACAATGATACAAACCAAGAACTTGCTTGAATGTTTTCATACTCCAAGTATTTTTTYCTCCTTAAGTCTTTTCATTCTCTTTTTCATTTCCTATTTGTTTTAACTTTTGATGCAGTTTCTCCTCTCCCTTTCTTCTGTGATGCTTTACTGTACTTTCAGCAGCACACTGCTGCAGTACTTTCCCTCTGCAGTTTTTGCAGAGCACTGCTTTTGGGAAGCTYGCCACTCATTCTGCTCAGTGCATTCACTTGTTGCATTCTCACTCACTTTCCTACCACATCTCATCTCCTGCTATGTGGTTTCTTATCTTCAGCTGTCTCAGGTGATGGCATGGTCAACATAGAGGTGGGGTTGTCATCAATATTTTTGCACGGGTTTAAATGCCAGGAAGCCCTGAGGCTTCCCGGGTTGTTTACAGAATGCTCATTCTTAGACTGTGATATCCTGTCTTAAGGAGCTGTTTWGAAATCAGGAAATGCAAGTGGGGTKAATGTCTCTRTTTAAATAATCATTGCACAATTTGCCCCAGTAAACCTTCTTTACCTTGGATATGGTGTTCTTAACTATTGGAGGATATGGGTAAATTCTTATTATGTAAATGAAAAAAGGTAGCTAGGCAAGCTCATTGTCAACAATTAGTCCCTGTTAAATCCCAAAGGGTCCTGAATCACAGAGCAGCTGGGAAGTTAACAGGGAATAGGGTATGAAATATTTGTTTGGAAATCAGCTGAAGCCAACGCTCCTAATTCTCTGTTACGAGATAAAAGGAGACATAGAAAAGAAGAGCTTACCCCATAACTTAGCAAAACAACCATTAAACCCATTATAACAATGGCAGGGAACCTGAACAGMTTGTGGTGGTGATGATGATGATGATGAAAATGGTGTGATGAACAACATCTCTTTGTGATGGGTTAGATTTGTAATGATTGCAAGATACCTACAMTCGTGCTATGTGTAAATATGGTTAAATTATGTTATGCTGTGATGATGCTTAAAGCAGGTAAGAAATTGCTCTCTCAAAACAGTGGCATTTTGCCTTCCCTCCACCTCTGTACTTGGAGGGAATACCAAGCTGAGTAATTGCATATTACTTTTACTTACTTAATTAAATCCCTTTCTGGAAAACTGATGTTGGTATCAATTTATTTTTTTTTTTTAAAGACCAAAAAAAGCCATGAACCAAATTCACTTGAAATGCACATGTTTAACTTAAAATTAATTCCATTAGCTTCAACAGAAACTGAAGAGCCCTGTCTGGGAACCATCTAGAGCTCTAACAAGAGCCACCAATGCCATTTGTCACGACCATATCATGAAACTGTGCAACCTGATGGAGACATTGCTTGTCCAAGAGCTCCTTGAGAGAATATCTTTAGCTATGGCTTAGCACTCACATGCTGAGCCCCACAGAGAGAAAGGCTCAGGATTTCTGTCAGCATGATGGGCTTAGTGATCTTTAACATTGCCAAGAGTAGTTCCAACTGGGTTTTAGCTAGCATCAGTATATCGAAGCTGGTTTTCCTTTTGCCAAGGTATGACCAGAAATTGAGGGTCCACAAAAAAGAAAGAAAAGGGGGAGGGGAGGAGCACACAATGCTCACAGTGTATTTTTATACATATTTACAGAAGGAAGAGCTGTGCTATCCAAACTTGAGCTTTCCCCATGGATGAGCCAAACATAACGTTTCATCCCAGCGAAGGCACAGAGAACATCTCAATGCACAGAAACATTTCTACACAGGAAAGGGTCTGGGAGATATTGACCCCACTTTGGGTAATTATGATCATCTCCTTCCTGGGTTTTTGTGAAAATGGAATTGTCCTCTGGTGCCTCTGCTTCCAGATCAAAAGAAACCCATTCACTGCGTACATCACACACTTGTCCATTGCTGATATCTCCTTACTGCTTTGTACATTCATTCTGTCAATCGAGTACATTGCTGGTTTTGGGTTCGCATATGGTTTTGACTATTATATAACCACCACACTATCTATTGTCTTCCTTCTTGGCTATAATACTGGTCTTTATCTCCTGACAGCCATCAGTATTGAGAGGTGTCTGTCTATTGTTTACCCCATCTGGTACCGATGCCACCGGTCACAGCACCAGTCGGCAATTGTGTGTGCAATTCTGTGGACTCTGTCTTTTTTCATGACAGTAGCCGAATATTTAACATGCAAGGATGACTCAACCAAGGAACAATTCGACGATGGCAACCATTGCCAAGCCCTGCTCATCTTCACATGGATCCTGACTTTCATGATCTTCATTCCTCTAATGATTCTGTCCAGCCTGATCTTGGTCATCAGGATTCATCGTAACTCCCTGAGACCTCATTCRTCAAAGCTCTACATCATCATTGTGGTCACAGTCATTGTCTTCCTCATCTTCGCCATGCCTATGAGGCTGTTGTATCTGCTGAATTACCACCACTGGTCATCTTTGCTCAGTCAGCAGAACCATGTCACCATCGTTCTCTCCACTGTCAACAGTAGCATCAACCCCCTGGTTTACTTCTTTGTAGGAAGCAGCAAGAAGAAGAGGTTCAAGGAGAGCCTCAAAGTGGTTCTTAGTAGGGCGCTCACTGATGGGTTGCGGCCAAGAAGCCAGGAAGTTGGCATGAGTTTGGATATAGCYGAAACAATTTTCTAAAGCTTAGGGGGGAAACTCTAGGGGCAAATAATTGGACTTGAAACATTTAATAAACCACTGCAAAACTAAAAGTATTTTTTCTTCCATAGAACGTAAAAAGTAGTGGTGAAATGATATTGTTATMTTTGGTGGTTGAGCAATGGAAAAATATGGACTAGAATAAAGATAACTTTAATTTGTTTTGATTTTTTTTTTATTTGTATCTTCTTAATTGTTCAAACACGTGCTAGATCCTGATGTGACTATGTTAATCAAAGATATCACAGTGGAAAAGAGACAGGCCAACAGAGAATATAAAAAAAGGACACAGAAGTATGTTATAAATAGTGTGACATTTATACAAGCACCAAGCACCCATAAAYGCTATTGAAGTCATCAGGGCCTGCGTGCGTTCACATTTTTAAAAGTCAAACCCCCTAAATGCAGGATTCATGTTACATACTGGGATTTAGTTTCAACTGTTTCCATCTTGTTTAAGTGCGCAAAASAGCTGCTCCCCAGGGGAAACAGAGGAAGAAATCCACGTAGGAGACTAAGTCCCCATGCATAGCCAAGTGCATACAGTGTAACTTAGCAAGTATCTTAGCAAGATATTTAAGTATATATTAAATGGCCTCATTTATCCATCATTAAGGGGCTACTTCAGAGTTTGTTTTCAAAGTGTAGGTTGCATAATTCCCACTGACATTGACATGTCTCTGGGTCCTTGGATAATTTGGTACTTGACACATAGGAATATCTGACAATGCAGAGATGCTGTTAACTCACAGAGGGCTTTTGACCTAATTATGAAGGGTGGGGCTGGCTTATTCCCAAAATGTCAGCATTCCTGTAGGTTTAAATACCCAGGGAGTCTATGAGAAAGTCAGTCCCAACATTTGCTGTCCTAGTCACTTAMATAGTATTTATCACCTCTCTGGAACATACATATTCCCTGTGTTGGCTTCTGTGGCCAACCAGTTTTGGAAAAACAGAAAAGGGAAAGGTGCCTCACATAATGAATGACTGGAGCCATGCTGYTCCAGCTGCCTGCCTCCCTCTGTTGTATGCCAGGGTACTGGGGCTGGTATTTTGTGGAGATTAACAACCCAACTGTATCCAAGCTGCAGAGTGCAAAGGAAGAAAACAGCAAAGAGAGGATGGGGCCGTCAGCTTTACCACACAGAACATGGGAGATCTCGGCAGCCAGAGCACTGTGGCACTTTCAAAGAGACATGCATTTGCTTCTGGCCCCCACAGAGCTCCTAATTCAGCAAGAACTGAGACCTCCCSTCACAAGCAAAAGCAGCATCTTCAGCTTCCCGCCAAGTTTCCACTGGAACACTTAATAGCTAACTGGGGAAAGAAAAATACAACCTACACCCCTCCTTTGTTGAAAGATTGCCAGTGCTGGAATAAGGAAGATTGTAGGTTTAGACAGAGGATTGGATGGGAATTCACGTAGAGGACAGATCTCAGAAGGATAAATATTCTTTCTACGCATGTGCCCCTTCCTCCTTACATTAAAATGTTGGAATGTATCGTTGAAGAAGACTCGGGAAAAGGAAGAGGTTTCCCTTGCGTCTTCCTGAGTCCCTCACTCCATCAAAACATTTATCTATGACAGCCTCCCCACTTGTACCAGTTTTTGTTTTTGAAACTCTAGTCCCAGAGTTTTTTCCTTTGAAACTCTTGTCACCTCTATTGATTCAGGAATTAGATAGTGGAGCCTGCTTCTCTCTTAGGGCAGAGATCTCCTGTGCTGCTGGAATGACACATCAGATGAGCAGCTCMCCATTGCTGATGGGGAGTGTAGGATAGAGCATGTGGACACCTTGTGAAGGAGGGCCAGGGAGGAGTGAGTGTGATGTCCATATACACATGGCATGTGCGTGCATGCAGCTGCTGGGGACTGAGTGACTGTCAGGRAATTTGTCAACACTGATAAATGCCATAAACTTAAAATACTAGGGTAGATCTAGCTCCCACCAAAAAAGCCCCAGACTTTTCCTTAAAGCCATTCCCTACCCTTATCTCAAGACCCTTCACAGTAATCACACAGAGAAACAGAAAGAGGGGCAACATTGCAGGAAGCATCTTCAAAACATGCTTCTGATGTAACAACACATAACCCAATTCTCTCAGAGTGATTCAGGTGAGGTGAGGCATATGATTTACAGCCCTTAAACATATCCCGATTCTTATAACAGGTTTGGGTTAAAGATCACTATGCAGGCAGCCAGGGCAGTAGATCAGATGAGGCAATAATATGCAGCAGGGCAATCTGGATGTTTGTGAACTGAATAGGACTTACAGCTCTAGGACTTACAGCTTCTTATCCCCTTCCACATYTGCCTGGAATGTTTCATGCCCTCAAATGTTTCAGATTTCAGACAACTGTCCATAGATCAGTTCACAGAACAAACAAWATTAACATTCAGCATAAGATGAACATCCACAAGGACAAATAAGAATGAACACCTAACAGTTGAAAAATTATTTATGTTTCCCAGTCTACAGATAAAAATAACTTAGGGATAGTCTTTCTTCTTTATCATAGCACCYGGTGACTGTTCTCTGCGCAGACAGGCTGAAGTACAGGGGAACTAATAAGCACACAATTTGTTGCACAAAGATGTGATTCTCTACCAGTCTGCATTTAAAAAATTTATTTGCAGCTGTGGGAGAGGTTGAAATAACGCTGTGCAGATCAGATGGTGTGAGAACTCTGTAGTAGTGCAGAATAGGAAAGATTGTCTTGTCAGTCAAGTTCTAGCCATGGAGATTAGAGATATGGATTCTATTTTAATTGCAGTATGTATCTGATTTTTCTGTACCACTCTTCCCTGCCTCTGAGRGTCCTATTATTTTACTTTCAGTGCTGTGCTTTCACATTTACACTTGAGAACAGCACTTGAGAACAGCAGCTATCTCTTGGTTATCTCTTGTAATGTCTGGGGCAAGAAGGACTTAATTGTACTGTGCAGTCAAGACAAGGAATTATTCAGGAAAGCCCAGTACACAACTTATTTTGTTAAAACTCTCTTTACCAGGCTTTTGTTCAACTTGATACTAATGAATGTTGTGGGATATAAAATTGTGGCTAGAAATACAAAGAGGGAAGCTACTTCCCAAGGCATGGAAGAGTTTTTGCTCCTGTAGCTACTCCCTGGATGGAGAGGATGATAAGGTGCAGGCTGCTGTGCAGGCTCAGGCCCAAAATGAGGTGATGAGTTTATGCAGTGGCTTTCCTCTATAACTTATAGACTTTGTGAACAATCCTTGTSAACCAAGGGTAGAGAGCTGAGGAGGAAGATATTGCCCAGTTTACTTCTAGCCTGGGGCATATCCTGAGAAGTCCTCTGATGGAAGCTGAAATGCTTCCCAGTTGTACTGTTTGCTGCAGACAATAACTCCCTTTCCTAATGTGAGAAYAAGCTGCAAGGCTGAAGCATTCCATGGTAAAATGCCTCAGGTCACTTTGTGGAGTGAGGGTAAGACAGACAGTTCAATTGTAGGGTCCTCCAAAAAATCCTAGCTAGATTGTCTGGCTCTGTATGTGCCTCAGAGAGAATCATTCTCAAGTCCTCCCCATGTGCCAGTCTCAGGGAGACCAAGATCCACACACTGGGTTTTATGAGCAGATGTTGCAGTGAGGATACTGGCCAGCAGAAGATATTCTCAGATGGTACCAGGCCAAGGGAAAGCAGAAAATTGGTGTCAGCTTGCGTGTAGCTCACACTGTAATACACTGCCTGCCATCTGTGTACTTGCTGCTTCTCTTCCCAACTCCATGCAGAAATAATTTATTAAAAGGCATTACACAGGGCTTCTAGCTACCCATCCATCAGGAAAGACAGTTTGTTCTCTATTTGGTCACCCAGGCACTTGTGTGATGCTCACATGGAATTGTTTCCTTTTCYGCTTGACTCACACAAGCGTAAAAGATGAAGCACCAGAATCCACATCCAAATAAAAGTACTGTAGGTGCAAAACTTTGAATTCAAAGAAGAGGTACTGAGATAGCCTGCATGATTTCTCCCTTGCATATAATCATTCCATTTTTAATTATATGATTGCAACCTATTTTTTTCTCCAAACTGGACTCTTGCCTCATTAAATATACAAGACTGGACCTGCTGCTAGTTTAGTAAGTATTTCTAGAGTCCTTGCTTCAGCTGTTTCAGAGATATGGAGGGCAGGAAAGGAGAAGGAGTGGACATGGCCTCAAATCCTGTCTCAAGCAGTGTTCACAAGCAGAAGCCTACAGAGGAGGACAGAGCAAACACATACCACGCTTCTTTCTCATCCTCTCTAAGCCTTCAACAGTTACCAGCTTAGAAACACTTTGGTCTAGAAATCTTTATATTCAGTAACTTTCAACAGATTTCAACAAATATGTCAGACCTACAYGGAAGGCATACAAGTTTTTTATTTCTTCAACGCTTGCATGGTTATCATGAAGGACTGTCTTCAGGAACAGGACAACGAAATTCTTACTTGGATTCCATCATTCTAACACCACTAAACAAGAAGCAACACAAAGCAAGTAATTTTTTTTTTTTTGTCTCAAGAGCTGGACACAAAGCACGTCTGTAATTGGAGTAACTTTTAATTATTTTTTTTCCTGTTAAGAATTTGCTTTATAAAAAATATGGGTATTGAAAATTGGACAATAAATAGAATTTTTAATKATAAAAGTTAATAGATTTTTGAGGTAAAGAATAAAATTAAAATATTTATAGAAGCAGTATTTTTTGGCATAATCTACAAAAATATGTAAAACCTTTAATGGCTATGTGCGTGAGATGGAGTGAACACCTTGGAGTCTCTGCTCCACCTTAGAACAAAAAAAACATTTACTTTAATGCATTAGAGGAGGGTGTTTTATGTTCTATGTTGTCTTTGGTCTATCWGGATTCATTTTTTAACTCAAAGAGTGATATATGTCTCTCAGATATAACTTTGTAATATTATTTATAGGAAAAAAGTTCTCTTTGTTACAAGTGAAGTATTTCAGATGAACACATAYGCAAAGCTCAGTGATGATACTCAAYTACAYACTACACCAAAATGTAATTATTTTYGGAAAATAAATATATGCAACCAGTAATTTTTGTTTTGGCTAATGTTYTTTCTTTCC